CGATTTCACCCCCTCTGACCCCCGGGGGGCAGGGTGAGTTTCTAAAGGGTCCTAGGGTGTGTTCCAGAACCCTTTAGAGACTCACCCTGCCCCCCGGGGGCCACATTCTGGGACTCTTGAGGCTTGGGAAGCTTCAGAAGAGTCCCAGAAGATGGCGATTTCGCCCCCTCTGACCCCCGGGGGGCAGGGTGAGCCTCCAAAGGGTCCTAGGGTGTGTTCCATAAGATGGACCTCTCCATAAGGCTCACCAATTTTTAGGAGGAGAAAACAGATTATTTTTTCCTGTTTTCTTCTAAAAATTTGGTGCGTCTTATGGAGAGGTGCGTCTTATGGAGCGAAAAATACGGTATGAGAAACATCTATTTTAGTTCTCACAAAAAGTCATTACTGTTATTATTTATATGTGCATTCTCAGTAGAATTCAGCACCTTTGTATATTTGAGTTATATATCTACAGTACATAATTTCACTATCAGATGACATGGAATTGCTTTCCAAAAATAACTGCATCTCATTTAAAGGGGCCATATTTCACACTACCCTCTTTTCAGCTGCTTACTTAGAGAACTCATGACATTATCCTCCACATGATTCCCTGTGCAACACAGGGAGAAAAGAGACCCAAACAGCTACCAATGCTGGCCTCCATTTGAACACACACAAGAAATCTGAAACATCACCCACTCTTCTCAGGAGCTCCTGATTCCAAGCCATAAGCCACCTCTGAATTTCCCTCACACACCTGAGTTGCCAACTGTCAGTCCATCTCCCTCTGATGGTCTGGTTAACCAGATCATCTCCATCCTGCAGCTGAGAGATGGGGGCAGGTCTGCAAACATGAGAGGAAGAAAAAGTACATTGCTGCTGACTGCAAAATACAGACTCCCATTATTCTATTAAGTGAACACCAGCCATAACAAAAATAGTGGCAAAATCCTGTTGTGTAACTTTATACCCCACACAACTTGGATCAGGCACTCAAAACATTTAACTCACTATTTACTGTCCCCTTTAGGTTCCAAAAAGGACGTGGTGGGTTAAACCGCAGAAGCCTCTGTGCTGCAAGGACCAGCAAAAGCAAAAGCAAATATACCGCCCTATAGTGCTTCAAGCACTTTCTGGGCAGTTTACAAGTTAATTATGCAGGCTACACATTGCAGTCATAAGGTCAAATCCACGTGACGGAGTGAGCTCCTGTCGCTTGTCCCAGCTCCTGCCAACCTAGCAGTTCGAAAGCATGTAAAAATGTGAGTAGATGAATAGGTACCACCACGGTGGGAAGGTAACGGCGTTCTGTGTCTAGTCGCGCTGGTCACATGACTGCGGAAGCTGTCTTTGGACAAAACGCTGGCCCTATGGCTTGGAAACAGGGATGAGCCCCTAGAGTTGGACCCAACTGGACTAAATGTCAAGGGGAACCTTTACCTTAGGTTCCAAGGTTCCCTCGGGCCTCCTTTTGCCCTAGAAAAGCCTTTGGGGGGGGGGAAGCTTTTAAAAGTAAAAAATTACTGTTGGCATGACTGCTGCTGCCAATCCAGCAGTGGGACAGAGTTGGACTTCTCAAGGTTACCTAGGAACCCTGATCTTTCATGTGTACTGTTGTGTAGGGGGGCATCATGCAAAATACATATAGTATTTGTATTGGAAAATGGTGCAAAGAATTGGAAAATTCAGCATAGATTTTGAAGGGATCCCAGATTTTCAGGTTTGTGGTTCATTCCTGTTTTTTTACTAATTAGGGGAAATGTGTGGAGTTTTTCTAAATCTAGATTCAGCCCCATGTGTGCATTCCAGTGAGCTTAGTTCTATCACTGTGGCATTAAAAGTCATTCAGCTCCAAAGTTATGTGAGGCTAGAACTAACGAGCATAGGTTTTCATAACACATATTGATATTACCATAAAAATAGTACTGTCCTGGTGATTTGAAGGTATTAAACTGAAATCTTTTTAGTAAATTGAATTTTCATATTAATGACAAATACTTCACTGATGAAGAAGGAATTCCTTTATGAGGAGGAAATTGTAACAGTGTTTTGACCTTCTCAACAATTTCTTCATTTACTTTGAATAAAAACTGTGATCTCGTATTTGAGAGTCCAGCTTCTCTTTATATAATATATCTGCTGTGTTCCTCTTGTGCAGTGACCTAGGTTATCTGTGTTCTGTGTGCAAATGGTTTTAGGCAAGTGGTCCATAGTGGTCCTATTTATTGGCAGGAAGTCAGGTTCTATCTATCTGAATAATTTTTGTGATCCCCAAATGGCATCTGAACATTTTGAAGTTTGCTTTCACTGTTTGTTTATATACTTGGGGGAGGGGTTTAATATACACAAACACACTTATATTCAAATTCAATTCTGTTTTTCTGATAATTATGTATATAAAATGGGTCACTGACAAACACCTTTGAAGTGCTTGGAAGGTTGGACTTACAAGAGTAGAAACATCTTTGGAGGAAGAAACTAAGGGAAATGCTTCTTCCCTAAACAGTCTAGCAAGGAGATGCTTTTTTGGCCGTAATATGTTCAGTCATGCCCCGCTGGACGATTACCCCGTTTAAAGCTGAATCCGCTTAACGTTGATGTTTTTGTGATCGCTTTTGCGATCGCAAAACAATGGTTTAAATAGGGTTTTTTCACTGTGCGATGATCGGTTCCCTGCTTCAGGAACCTATTTCAAAATGGCCACCCGCTGTTTTTAGGACTGATTTTTTGCACTACAGGCACCAAAAACGGCTGCCCCTATGGAGGATTTTCGCTGGACGAGCAGGTATTCAGCCTATTAGAACACATTGAACGGTTTTCAATGCATTTCAATGAGTTTTTTAATTTCGTTTGACGACGTTTTCGCTCTACAGCAATTTCGCTGGAACGAATTAACGTCGTCAAGCGAGGCACCACTGTAGAGTGTTTTGTTGAGAGAAGAAAGCAAGAGTGCTTGTTATGGATGGTGTGGTATTTTTGACAGTTCTGGCAAATAGTACTTACTCATAGAGTTCAATGAGCCATACTGCCCGGTAAGTCATGGGATTGCAGCTTAAATATTATATTGTTAAGAACTGATATCAAATCACTATGATGAATCTAGAGAGAAGTCTACCAAAGGTTGTTCTATTCTTAATGCTTTTGTGTGTCTGCTTCACATAGGCTTTTTATTTTATTAATTAATTTTAATTTATTAATTTGTTTTAAGAAATAAATTATTAAACCATCCATTGATCTCTGAATGCCACACATAAACTTAAAGATCAGAATGTTGCACATGGAAGGTGCCAAGGCAAACTGATGAACTGCCGCATCACCATGTAGATGGCATCCTGTCAAGTAAGACTTTTGCAGAGTGCAGGTGGCATACAAGTCAAATCAATCAATCAATAAAATAAATAAATAAAAGTAGTTGTACCAGCTTCTCCAGTGTCCCTTTTGCAGTTAATAGTGGCAGAATGGGCAATTTTTAAACTATAGAATAACTATGCCATTGACAAGAATAATCAGTAAAACAGCAGAAAATACAATATTTTAGAATTCCTAGGCATGGAAAATGGTTTAGTTTCAGGTATGAATTCCTTGGCAACAAAATAAAATCCCTATCTGGCTTCAGTAGAACTATCGTATTTTTCCGTGTATATGATACTTTTTCCTAAAATAGTTAGAGCAAAAACTGAGAGTCATCTTATACATGGAAGTAAGCTGAACTGCTGGCATGCCGAGCCCTCTCTGTGGGCATGCGAGCCATGCCGATGCTGCTGCCCATACCAGGGTGTGCTGCCGCTTGCTGCCAGGGCTCAGCTGAAGCTCACAGGAGCCCACAAGTGGTGCTGGAGAAGGTGATCAGGTGGCGGCAGGAGGCGGAGCCAAAGGAGGAGCCACACTGGGCCACCCCTTGCAGCTGCCCATTGACTGGGGCCGCCTAATCACCTCCTCCAGCGCCACTTGCGGGCAGCGAAGGAGGACCGAGCGCAGTACAATATTGCGCACAGGGCAGTACAGGAAACCCGAGCAAAGGCCCTGCCTATATTTGGGGAGGAGGAAAAGGCGTCACCTGGGTGTCCCTCTGGAGGACATGCTGACCTGGAGGGTGCCCACTGATTTGGTCACTCGGGCTCAAAAGGGTCAAAATTGGAGGGGTGTCTTGTACATGGCGGTGTCTTAAACACAGAAAAATATGGCATATGTAACTGCAGCAGTGAAAAAGGAATGAAAGGTGAGGACAGGAAGAATCACTGCTCTTTTAAACCATTTAATCTGATGAACAATTCTGGATAAATTAAAGCTTGATTTCATACTATTGCAAAATTGTAATAAAAAGTAGATTTTGGGTTTTGATTTATTTGTTCTTACAAGCCAAAATAGTGACCTCAATTTTTGTTACTTCTTGAGTGAGCATTCCAAAACTAACATACCACCACCCACAGAAGAAGGCCGCCTCTTTTGTGATGTCTAATGCAGCTAAAAAAAGAAAAATGAACACAGACAAGTTTTTCCTCTGATTATGTGGCGTAGCAGTTAAACTGTTGTACTATAGCTAAAACTGTGCTCACGACCTGGGGTTCAGTCCCAGGTAGCTGGCTCAAGGTTGACTCAGCCTTCTACCCTTCTGCGGTCGGTAAAATGTTTACCCAGTTCGCTGGGGGGGCAATGTGTAGCCTGCATAATTAACTTGTAAACTGCCGAGAGAGTCCTTGAAGCACTATGGGGCGGTATATAAGCAGCACACTTTGTTATTTCTTTTTGCTTTGTTAGTATTAGATATGCTGGTATGAGAGAACGTGTTACAGCCGGTGGCCCCAGGACTGGATTGTGTTTAACAGAAAGTAGAAAGCTAGTGTAGTTGTTTCTGAACTGACGTATTGATATTGTTGCCTGCTTATTTGTTTTGTTGCAGCATAGATATATTTTTGTAGATATATTGTTTCTTAAGTTGTTTTAAACAGATAACATTTGTATTTTCAGTTCATCCAAGTCTCATCCTGGGCCTGTTGTCCATATTAGTGACAATCCAATGGATGAAGGCAAGGTACGTTCAAATCTGAAACACATATCTTGGCCTCAGGGACATTTCACTTATTCCTTGTTGTTGTTGTTGTGTGCCTGATAGGATTTTCAAGGTAAGTGATATTTAAGGAGGGGTTTTACCAGTTCCACATTCCCAGTGAGTTTCCATGGCTCAGTGGGGATTTGAACTCAGGCCTCCTGAGTCCTGGACTATTACTCTATCCATTATATGAGTAATTCCCCATTTTGGATCCACAGATATTTTTGGAGTGCAACTCTCAGAAATCCTGGCCAACACAGCTAGTGGTGAAGGCTCCTGGGAGTTTTAACTCAAGAACATCTCCTTTTTAGATTTTAGTAATTTGTTGTGATCAGGTTCTTCCAAAACTGGTGACGGTTCCCTCATTTTGGTGGGAATAAGAGACGGAGGCAGTTTTAAAGTCCAACAGATTTAGTTTTATTAACATCAACTTCAGGATCAACTAAATTAAATGGATCAAAACAACTCAGTTCAGGGATTGTTCTTGGGTCCCGGCGTAAATATGTCACTTCTCACATTGGGGCTGGACCAAAGCGCTCACGGTCGGTCATCACTCTCAAGGGGGTGCTCCTTACTGCGTGCACTGTCCCACAACAGGGGTGTCTCGCCCAGTCCCCTTCTGGAGGTGGAATGTTGTAGGAGGGACTGCGCCAGATCCCTTTCTCCCCCCACTTTGATTGCAAGGGTAAACCACAACCGTCCATTCTAACTGTTTCACCTCTCTTCTTTCTACCTTTGGTAAATCGGGGTCTGGGAATAATCCTCCTCCTGTCTTTAAGTTCGGAAAGTCCTTTAACAAATCACCAACCTTGTTGGGTGTTTCTTCATCCCTTTCAGTTTGAACCGCACAATCTCTCGTACCTTTTCTTGTCCGGTCTGTTTCCACTCTAAATTCCCGCGCATCACCCCACTCTTTTATAACCTCCTCCCACACTATCAAATCTTGCTCCTCCCCTTTTGCCGCCCCCTTGTCTTCTGCCAAACACACTTCCACTCCTCTTTTCCCCTTTATTCCGCCCTCCTCTATTTCTATGAGCACTCCCTCTGCACATACACACGTCTCCTCCTGTACTCTCTTGGTTGAGGATGGCTCACTAGCCTTCTCTCTTTCACATTTGTCAAGAGAGAATTTAGCTTAGTTGTAGTAATAAAGATGGGCAATATTTAGAAATAAAATGTTCCAACATAGTCACATTAATTCTAACCATATATATTTGGATGGTGTATTTTCCTTTGCAGAAATGGTACTACAGAAAAGGTTGGGCAGACATAGATTACATTCGAATCTAACATTGGTAGGGTGGTGGTGGTGGAAATCAGCTTGGGAGTGACTCTGAAAGGGGAAAAATGGCTGCTGGGGAAGAAATTAAATACTTGCCCCTTTATAGTTTATCTGTTTTACTTCCTCACTAGAGTTGCTTTGTTCTTTAAAAAATTGCATTGGGACATTGTTAGATAAAAAGGTGATTTTTGTAGGGTCATGCAGTTATGTCCCCCATCAGCCAGACATGCAACCAGATAGGATACTTACAAACACAAAATGTTTACCTTATTGCTTTTATTTGAACTGTCATTTGACTACTGTAAAAATTTACATGTTATAAATTTTTTTGACAGTGTATGTACCATGTTGTGTATGTAAGTGTATATAAATTTATGTCCACTCTAAAAGATTGATGTTTAATTTTGTTACATTTACTAGATTAAATGTAACATTCTTATGAACAGGATGATAGTGTAAATCTTAATTGTTAGCATATCATCTCAGATTTTTCTGATACTAGGATTAAAAACAGCTAGTGAAAATATATGTGTGCAAAGAACAGACTTGTGCAATACCTTTAAACAGTTTTGACTAGGGAGCATACTAGATTGTTGAAGAATATTTCCAAGTGACTGTGGGTGTTTGTGAAATCTGAAGTACAGATATCTTAAATTTCCTGTGTCTTCCTTTAGTAGTAATGAGGACATGCATTAGAAAGTCTTGGTCTTTTTACAAGAGCAGTTTATTATAGTGATCTCCCAGTGCTGTTTTTTTTAAACATAGCTATATTCTAAAAAGTTGCTTTTCCTTCTTTATTTCATGATTGTATGTATAGAACTGCAAGATATTTACATATGCCCTATTTGGGTCATTTTCTTTTGGTTACAGTTCTGTGTATACTCCATAAATGAACATTGTTTCTCTCCATGATCATAAAAATGATTTCTGGAAGGGTATGTCTTGTAAAAGAATCATACTACTCAACAATTAATTGTATATCTGTTCTGCCTTTTGATCCATTGCTGTGTGCAAGTGTTTTTGCCTAATAACTTTATTGGTTTTTGCCTAATAACTTTCTGCTGTATTTCTACGTTCAGTTCAAGAATACTTGTGGTGGGTTCGTTTGTAGTTATTATTTCAGAGAATACAAAGAATATTTTTTATTTATTTAAAATATTTTTATGATGCCTTTCTCCTTGAAAAGGACCTAAGGTGGTTAACAACAATGAAATATGCTATTTATTTAAAAACGAGTATACAAGGGTGGTTAACATAATTAAAAGACAACTTTTAAAACTACTGTACGAGCAATGAACAAAGAGGCATCTTAGATCATTAACAGACAATATTAAGGCAAAGATCTTTTTTTTAAAAAATTCCACTCTGTGAATAGAAAACACAAAAAATGGAAAACACAAGTAGTACAAAAAAATCCGATCAAAGTAATGCATAGCAATCTATCTAAAAATCAAAGAGGTACAGTAGTACCTCGGTTTGCGAATGCCTCAGTTTACATAATTTTCAGGTTATGAACCGAAATCCATTAGAAATAAAGCCCCAATTTACGTTGTTTTCTTTTTTTCACACTACGAAAGGGTTTTCCCAGGACACATTGTGCCTATAGTGCCGCCGCTTTCGTAGTGCAATTGGCATTTTGGTTTACGAAATTTCTGTACTATGTAATGTAGCATAGAACGGATCTATTTTGCAAACCAAGGTACTACTGTATCTTTCTAGTGAGGGAAGGCTTGCCTGAAAAGAAAGTCTTTGGCTGCTTGTGGAAGGATAGCAAAGATGGGACCTGTCTGACTTCCTGTGGGAGGGAGTTCACCTTACATGAAACATTTCCTCCCTGTTCTTCGCCAAAAAGCCTTCCATAGTAGCTTTGAAATCATCTTAAAAAACAAAGCAAAACATGGCCACTGCCCATTTTCAAACCTCAATTCTCCTTGCAACATACCTGCTCCATGCAGTCTTCTATTTTAATATAGGGAGAGGGCTAGAGGAGATGTCATAACAAAGAGTGACAAGGAAGCTTGCCACTGCCAGTCCCATTGAGCACAACTAAATACAGACCCAACCCAAACTGCTAGCTTGTAGGAAGCTACTACTTTATCACATTAGTTTCCTACATTGAGGATGTATATTTATGTGGAGTTTCATTCAGAAATGCATTAGGCTTTTTGTGAATTGGTAGTCTCCAGGACAATAGTGATATATCTTCACAGCTGAATTGGTTGTTAAACTTCTCCTGTCCATTTTGATAATGAGTAATTTAGTACTTCATGCTAATTTTAACTCAGTTATAAGATGAAAAATTGCAAGTCAGTTTGCATATTATAACAAAAAGGGAAATGAGCCTCTTTCAGGGGAGGAGGAATAAGAGACAACTATAAATGGACAAAGGTAATTTCCACAAAATAACTGCATTCAGTTCCTCATCTCACCTTTCTTTCGGATAAGAACCAAACTGTGCATGCAACATAACCTAGTTCAGTAAGTGGCATTTTCTTTACTTAGATAGTGCCTCACAAGGTAGTGTGAGCTAGAGGGACCAACATGCAAGTACTACTTGCTTTTGTGAGTATATAGTACTCGTGACAAGTCCTGATTTGTAGGCTTTCTAGACATCATTAACTACTATAACTACCATTAACTGTACAGTGGTGCCTCGACTTATGAACGCCCCTACATACGAACAATTTGATTTACGAACAGTTCCGTTCACAAAATTTTGCTTTGACTTGCGAACGGAGATTCGACTTATTAACGACAACAACAGCAAAGCGGAAAAAGTGGAAAATGGACTTTGGACTGCCTGGTACTGTAATTTTAAAATGTAAAAATTGGTTTAAAAGGTGCTTGGTTTGGTTTAAAGCCGCTTGGTTTTAAAGGTGTTTTGTTTAAAAGGTGTTCGTTCCTTCCCTCCCTTCCTCCTTTCCTGCCCTTTTTTTAACCTTAGGTCATCTTAGGTTTTTTAAAAAAATTCCCCCTAGTGGTAGAGGATGGATTAAAAGATTTTGCATTTGTTCCTATGGGAACGAATGCTTCGACTTACAAACGGCGTCTCTACATAAGAACAAAAAACAGCCAGAATGGATTAATCGGTTTTCAGTGCATTCCTATGGGAAATGTTGATTCGACTTATGAACATTTCGACTTAAGAACATCATTCCAGAATGGATTAAGTTCGTAAGTCGAGGCACCACTGTGTTTGTATAGATATTTGATACCAGAACATTCATTTAGTTACAGTGTCCCAGACAGTATTTCAAAATGATGTCTTATTTTTTGATTATCAGTAGTATTGCTGCAATATTGGAATAATGTTTTCTTTAATATTATGTTGATATATAGTTATTCTAAGCACTTTCATTCTGATTCAGCAATCCTTAGAATTATATTATTCATGTTTTAAAAATGAAAATTAGCATTTTTTCATTGTTTTAAAATGTTTTGTTTGTGATTTATTACAGCTCTTGATTGGTTTTGAATCAGGAACAGTGGTACTATGGGATCTCAAATCCAAGAAAGGAGAATACAGATACACACATGATGAGGTACTGGGAAACATATCTAACAGATTTTATCTACTGCTTCTTCAACAATAGTAATATTCAATTTTTTAAAAAAATTAGATTATTCTTTGTCAATAATGATGTTTTAATCTAGAATGATCATTTTTGTGCATCACTTCTACTTTTTATTTTTTTTAAAAGAACACCTCATGCTTCCTTCCTCTTTTTACTGTCATGCACTTCACTTTTAGTCAAAAAGCTATTTGTATTTTAAAATAAGTAGTAAAACTGATTACAATTTATTTTAAACTACAAAGAAGTACTAATGTTCTGTTGCATTACAAAAAGTTAATAAGTTAATATGCCTTAAGAAATGACAAACAAAGCAACTTTTAATGTGAAGGATAATGAAAATCTAATGGTCTTGCATCCCTCTTGAAACTTCTTTATACAAAGTGCAGAAATTAATACATCGCTCTGAAGCATGATTTAAGGAGTGACTTTGTGACATTTGCTAAATGACGTAAGAATTCAAGAGTTGGGAACTTTTAGGATACTGAACTTGTAGTGTTTCATACAGTCTTCAGTTCAGAGTATGTGCATTACATATTTAAATGTTTCTAAACTCCATGTGATACTCATACCACAGAAATGAAGAACAGGAAAAATACTAGCTTTTCTCTTCTTCTCCAGTTCAGTACAACTTCCCACTCGTTTTTTGTTTGTTTTTTGCTTGGTTTTTTGAGTCTTACAGTATTTGTAAGAAAGAAAGCGTGAATGAGAATTGGCTTTTCTTTGTGGTCTCTATCACTCATGCAAATGGATGGTGCATCTGCACAGAGGTTAATTTGAAACATTCTACATTTTAGGTGATAAATCCTGCCCCTGTGAACATGATCCAGTGAACCTTACCTTGAGCTTATCGTTTCTTTTACATCTGCCACCCGAGTGATGTTGTTGGAAACACTTTGAAAAACTGTTGTCCCTGAAATTTCTTTTGTTCTTTTCCTTATCTACCTGTCTTTATGCTTCTTTGACTCCCTTTGCCTGTGCTGATAGTCTTAATGGCCCTTATTTAAATGTATAGTGGTGCCTCGCATTACGACGTTAATTTGTTCCAGAGAAATCGCTGTAGAATGAAAACGTCATAACGCGAAAATAAAAAGCCAATTGAAACTCACTGAAACCCCTTCAATGCATTCCAATGAGCTGGAAACTCACCGTCCAGTGAAGATCCTCCATAGGGCGGCCATTTTCAGTGGCTGTCTTACGAGGAATCCGTCCCTAAACACAGTGGGGAGCCATTTTATTTACCCGGTGGCCATTTTGAAACCGCCGATCAGCTGGAGGAAAATCGTCATTTTGCGAAGAATCGGTTTCCGAAGCAGGGAACCGATCATCGCAAAGCGAAAAAACCCATTCAGACCATTGTTTTGCAATCGCAATTGTGATCACAAAAAGATCGTCGTAATGTGGGGCAATCGTAATGCGGGGCAATCGTAAAGAGAGGCACCACTGTATTGCAGCTGTGAGGGGAGGAAGACTGGGAATTCTTGATACCTTTTCTGATTTGGAGAATCCCACCTTTCTCAGTCTTTTTCTATATGGCAGGGATTCACCAGACAAGGGCTTGAGTTGTGCCAGTCAAAACGCAGACTTTATTTCAGGAAAAAGTCAATATGGGAAGCTGATCAGGCAGCTCAGAATCATCTCCTCCATACAGTATTTGTGAGCATTTCCCTAAAGCTCTCCAGCAAACAGGACTTGTTTCCACTATTTGATTGAAATTAGCTTTCTCAACATTGGATTATCATCAATTGGTACTTGTGGACATTGTGATGTCTCTGCTAGTGTTCTCTACTTCCTCCCACCACCACCCCAACACTGGGACCAGACACATTGCCACCAAAATAAAGGAAGCACACCTTTGAGCATCATGCTGATTCTGCTTACCCAGACGACACAGAAGAGAGTTAAACTGAAGAAAGCTACCATATAATTTAGCTTCTGCTACATTGCCTTCAGCAGCACAGTCCCCATTGCAACTCCTTTCCTCGACCACAATGCCACAGACCTTTCTGACTTGGGCACTGGCTGTTCCTTCAGCTACGGACAACACTCATCTAACTGTTAGAACTTTCACTCTTTATACTGGCTTGATACTGCATCCCTGTGGCTTGTCACTTATACTTGCTGTTTCTTTGGTTTCAGTCTCTGGTGTAGCTTTGATTGCTCTGCTCTGCACTGGCTTACTACCATTTCTTCCTGTTCTACATTCAGTCTCAATCTCATTTTGATCCCTGCTTTGAGGATAGCTATACCTGGATGCAGATCTGGCTTGCATAACCAAGATGTGGATGGGTAAAGGGGATATACCCCTGTTGCTAGCCTGTCACCCCAGTTATGCTGTCCAGCACCAAGGTAGACCGGAGGGTTGGGAGGGGGGAAAGTTGCCATTGTTTATAAGGACACCCTTGAGGTTGTCAGGCTCTGTGCCATGGTGATGCCAGGCCTAGATTCCCTCTGTGTCGATTGGGGCCAGGGATGGTATTGAGATCTTGCTGCCATACCGTGTTCCCCATGATCCAGCCACCTCCCTATCAGAGCTAACTATCTCCGTGGCTCTGTTGGGATCCACGAGACTGATTGTCTTGGGTGATTTCAACATCCATGCGGAGGCAGAAGTTACTGGTCCGGCTCTTGAGTTTTGGGAAACCATGGCTTCCTTGGACATGTCTCAACTTGTTAACGGCCCCACATACCTGGGTGGCCACACTTTGGACCTGTTTTTTTCCACTGAGCAGAGAGAGTGTGGCTAGATGGTGACTGATGTTCAGTTAGTCCCCTTGTCGTGGTCGGACCATCACCTCATAAAATGGAATCTCACAGTGGCCCTCCCTCCCTGTGGGGAGCAGAGACCTATTTTCATGGTCTGCCCTCACAGGCTACTGGATCCTATGGGATTCCAGGATGCTATGTGTGGGATTCTGATTGACCCAGCCGGCGCTCCTGTCAAGGCCCTGGTGGATGACTGGTATGGTGCAACTGCCAGGGCTGTAGACACGATTGCTCTTAAATGCCCCCTCCACCGCAGAGTCCGACCAGCACCTTGGTTTAACCACCAGCTGCAGGCTTTGAAGCGGAATAGGAGAAGGCTAGAGAGCGTTTGGAGGTGGAACCTAACGGAAAATAACTTAAAAGGTGCCAAGGTTGCTAGGAAAGACTACTTTGCTGCCTGGATAAGTGAAGCATCGAATCAGCAGGACGAACTTTTCCGTATAGTACGCAACCTATCTGGAATTGTCCACAATGATTGGCCTCCATCTAGCATTTCTTGTGACCAATTTGCAGCATTTTTAAAATCAAAAGTGGAGGCATCTGCCAGGATCTTGCACCCTATTTGAAAACAGTGGATCGAGCTGAGACATCCAGCGCAGCACCTTGTCCATTGAGAATTACTTAGTTTCAACCTGTGATGTCCACAGAGGTGGACAAGGTCAAGCCACCACCACCTCCCTTGACCCCTGCCTGGCCTGGCTAATCAAAGCTGTTAGGCCGGTGATAACTGAATGGACCGTTGAAATAATAAATGGGTCTCTTCTTGAGGCTTGCCCTTAAGGAAACGCTCATTAGGCCCATTAGAAAGAAACCGAGCTTGGTGGCGGGCAACATTGGCAATTATCAGCCCGTTGCCATTGTTTCTTTTCTCAGCAAGGTAGTTGAGAGGGTGGGGGCTGACCAGCTTCAAGCTCTCTTGGATGAAACCGATGTCCTGGATACATTTCAGTCGGGCTTCAGGCCGCGCCACGGCACAGAAACAGCATTGATCACCCTGCTGGATGACCTACTTAGGGAGGCCCATGGGGCAAAATGTCCTTACTCGTCCTTCTTGATATCTTATCCGACTTTGATACCGTCGACCATGGTATCCTCCTGGGGAGGCTCTCCAAGATGGGGATTGGTGGCCTTGCTCTTGCTTGGATCCAGTCCTTCTTTGCTTCCAGCAGGTGTGGCTTGGGGAACTCCCTCTCTTTTTGGAGGGGGGTGACTCTCACCACAAAGAATTCAGTTCACAGTCTGGGGGTCCATCTTGACCTGGTGCTTACCATGGAGACCCAGGTAGTGTCCATGGTCCGGTCTGCCCACTTGCATCTTTGGTGGATCACCCAGCTGCATCCCTATCTAGACATTGGGGCGCATACCACTCTGGTCCATGCACTCATAGTCTCAAGAATAGACTACTGTAACGCTCTCTACGTGGAGCTTCCTTTGAGACTGATGCAGAAGCTTCAGATGGTCCAGAACATGGTGGCCAGGCTATTAACACGGGTGAAAAGATTTCACCATATTTCCCTCACCTTGGCCACCTTACATTGACTATCTATCCGCTTCCGCATTGATTTCAAGGTGTTAACCATTACATATAAAGCCCTTAATGGCTTAGGACCTCAATACCTGGCAGAGCGCTTTCTTCTGCCCAATTCTACCCATATCACCCGCTCCAGTCAGGCTGGGCGGGTGAGGTGCCTAACACCAAGAGAGGCCCGGTGGGAAAAAACAGAAATCGGACCTTCTCAGCAGTGGCCCCTCATCTTTGGAACAACTTACCTGTTGAGATCCGCCTGGTTCCCTCGCTGAGAGCCTTCAAGACTAATTTGAAGACATGGCTATACAGGCAGGCCTTCCCTACAGCCATTACCTAGCCTATCTCCCCTTTTCTTATTATTATTATTCCCCTCTTTCTTTTTTCCTTTCCCATCTTGGATTAATCTGGATTTTATCTTAGTTTATTTTTTTATTCTATGTAAACCGTCCAGAGTAGACATGTTCTAGACGGGCGGTATATAAACCAAACCAAATCAATCAATAAATATTCTTGTCCACACTCAATTCTCAATGTTGACTTTGAGGGCTCCCAAATCATGGGACTGCCTGGCACCCTCTTTCCTCATTCCTCTGACTCTGTCCTTTATTTTGGCTCTGTCTCAGAAAGAGATACAGTTGTATGTTTCTCCATAGACAAGTAGCTTAAAATCTGAAGA